CTCACACGGCACGTTGGATGGCTGGCTGACTATCAAGCTAGTTCCACTATGTTTTCCCTTGGCATTAGGAAGGTATGATAAGCACTAGACTCCCTAAACGCACCCCCCAAGACCCCAAATTGCAAGTACGGAAAGGGCACGTGCGCATACAACTTGACTGGAATTCATTAGATTTCGTATTCTGCAATTACACTACCGCTTCAGAGTCATGTCTGTTCCTCTCCAGGAGTGACAGGTCAAGTGAAAGAAAGGGGAGAAAAGCATTAACAGGAAGAAGCGAGGTTGCCTCAAGGCCCTGGGGATCCTCCGTTACTTGTTTCTGGTGGCCGCCGCCTCAGCCGTGATTTTCAACGCGGCGGGAGCATCATCACGGGGCATGTGAAGCTCCACCAACTGTGCCGTCTTGGTTAGCACTCTCCTGGACAGGATTGAAATGCTAGGGCAATGTATTACTTACTTGCAAGTGTGGCGCAGAAGCAAATTCCTGGTTTGCAAATAGCTGCCTCAGCTCATCCCGTGTCTTTACTTTGTAGCCTGTGTACTTGTCCTTGGCTCCAAAGGCCCGGGGCAGACCCTCAATATCCCACGGCTGGATGTCATTGTAGCTTTCGTCCCATCCGTGGATGTACCGCTCAATGGTGTATCCGTTATTGCAAATGACGAAGCTTGATTCAGTCAGTACTGTTACAACCTGGATCTTATCACCGTAGGGAACACTCACATAATGGGGTTGAGATTGTTTCGAATCATGGTGCTCAGTTCCTGCACGGTGAGCTGAAGACTTCCGTCACCAACGAACAGAACAGTCCGACGATTGCCCAATTCCTTCGCCGCCAGTGCAGCACCCTGACACGCCCCAACCGAGTAACCAATGCTACCCCACAGAACCTGGCTAATGGCCGTGACATTTGCCGGGAATCGGGTTTCCCAGATGCCAAAGTTGGCAGTGCCCGTCTCGGTGATAACAATATCATTCTCCTTCAGCCACTGACCAACATTGGGCCAAAGCCAGTCGTGCGTGATCTCCTGATTGCTCGAAGTTTTCTCGCTCTCAGGAAGCGTGTTGGAGAGATGCGGGACTGGCGCGGCGTTGACAGCACCCATCCTCTGGATGACTTTGCGCAAAACTCCCTTCATGTTGATCTCTGGATATTCAGAGTATCGCACACGCACATAAGTGCTGTGGAAATCAATGGTGTTGAGCTGTCCGATGTGGTACGAGAATCCGCTGGTGTTGAAGTCCGACTTGATAGCACCGATGCTCAGAATAAGATCGGAAGACTCGACTTGCTCACGAACACCCGCGTTCGATCCAGTGCCAGCATACACACCGCCGTAGTTCGGACGGGTCTCATCTACTGCTCCCTTGCCCATCGGAGCCACGAAAGTAGGCAGGCCGGAAGCCTCCATCAAGTCATGAACTTCATCAAGGACCCGATGACGGATGGCACAAGCATCCACCAGGATAACGGGTTTCTTCGCAGCATGCAAGTACTTCAGAACGACGTCCACCACATAATCTTCCTTCTCAGGGTCATTTGTCGGTAGAGAAAGATCCAGCGGTTTGTCGAGGCGGTCACCTTCAATCTGCTTGGTAATCATGTCGGTGGGGAGACTGATGTAGACGGGTCGACTACGAATCCAGCATTCACGGATGGCGTTGTCGATAAGCGTTGCAGCCTCCAGTGTCTCGTTCAACCGACCGAGGGTACAGGAGATGCCTGCACTCATCTTCGCAAACACATTGAAGTCGCCGTTTCCCAAGGTGTGGTGCAGCAACATGCCATCCTTCTGAGACTTGGTGTTGGGCTGACCCACGATATGAACAATTGGCACGAACTCGGAGTACGAACCAGCGATGGCATTGAGCGCTGAAAGCTCACCCACGCCGAAGGTGGTAATCAGGGCACCGATTCCGTTGACTCGAGCATAGCCGTCGGCGGCATATCCTGTAGGTTGTCTACGTTAGTTATGACAATGATTGCCACCAAGGTGGTACAATTCCAACAGTAGGATTGGTTCGGGCATACCGGCGTTGAGTTCATTGCAATTGCCCACCCAATGGAGGCCACACTTTGGCAGATAGTCTAAGGCTGCGAGGTTGTAGTCGCCTAGTATAATTCATGATGGTTAGCGGGATCAAGCACTCCCGAAATCCCCCAAAGTGAGTCGCACCTGGAACGCCATGCACAGAGCGAACGCCAACCTCGTGCAAACGACGGAAGAGGTACTCCGCAACCGTGATGGGCTTCCGAAGATCCCGGGTAGCGATATCGGTCGCCATCACGATGAATTGAACAGTGTGAGAAGATGGGGGTTGATAAAGCTAGTATGGAAAGAAGCGCGAGAAGTAGTGGATGTGTCTGAGAAGATGATATTTACTATGTGTTGAGGAGTGACAGAGTATTAATAGGTGCCTCAGACTGTCACAACCAGGGAGTCTGGAACCCAGTGTGGCCGTACGTCATGAATGAAATGGGCACGCGTGATGTCATGCTGTAGAGGTGGAACTCGAGACAAAAATAGTGTCACCGAACTACAATACTCACGCAAACAGCCACACCATGCGACGGTGAATGGCAGCGGGATCTCCGGGATCATTCCTACTGGATGATTATTTGATGCTTTGCGTGAATTCCAGATCTCCGACCATGATGGCATGGATGGGGTGGTTTGATCGTATATTGCTGTCAAATAAGCTATGGCGGATCCCTGGAAGAGATGCTGCGGAAGCAGCGATAAACTGATAACAGCAGGTGCACTAGTTTTCAAAAGCAAGCAAGTCAATCCGGCCGAAACCACTTTGCAGTAAGAACGCAGCAAGTAACCGGCCGTCACTCCACCAAGTGGGATGATGATCGCCCGCTTTGCCGCTATTCCTTTTGTGGAATTTTAAACCCCCCCGCGCCATGCCTACCCTTATCTGTTGGGAACTCTCGTGTCACCAGTAGTGCATCTAGAATTTCTAGGACCAGCTTAATCTCACCACTAAGCTTGAATCTTCCCTGTCAACTCGGACAACCGGGCAACGTGCGTGCACCTCCTGCGGTCAATTCCCCTCCCCACTTGCACACGCACAAATCCCGTACCGGCATCCCATCTCGTTCACCGCGCATTAACATCTGTCGATGGCTGGATCAGGGAAGAGAGCCATGCCTGAGAGGAAATCCGTTCAGCCTGCTAAGAAGAGAAAGGTTCGCCCCATCTGATGTTCTGTGGCATGTTGACCACAAACATCTCCCCATTGGCTTTTCCGCATCTAGTGTAATTGATATCTAATATGTGGCGGCACAGGGAGGTGGCCAATGGCAGAAACACCAACAAGGCAACAAGTCGGGCATTGAGGGAGGCGACTGGGGAGTTTTCGTGTCGTGCGACTTGGGAAAGGAAGGAAAGTGTATGGCAGAGGTAGTGGATGTTTTCTCGCAGGTTAGTAGCATGAAGGGCAGACTTTACGCATAGAAGGAAACCCACGGTATCTGGCAGATTGATGCGATCTAATATGCTCCTCCATCTGACTTATCTTGTTTTCTTCTCCAGAGTGTGGAGTCATCCAGCAGTGACAGTCATGGAGACAAGCCCGACTCGGATGAGGAGGATGACGATGATGACATCGAGGCCCTAATCAGAAAAGAGGTCGAAGGACTGAAGCCCAGCGCGAGCAAGTCGCGCCCGTTTCATGCTATCAGAATGGACTTGCCGTGTCGTGCGTTACCCTCATTTTCCTCCTTAAAAACGATCTAAGTTGGAAAGACACTAATATGTTTCAGTGTTGTTCGTGCGATTTGACAAATCCATCAATCCAGAGGAAATGGTACATAAACTTTGCTTAGACGCAGCTGCCAACCCTGAAAAGAAGCGATCTCGATACATCCAACGCATGACACCTGCAATTTCCGTTCGCAAAACTCTCAGTGTCGACCTGGAGTCTTTTGCACGGGAAGTCCTCAAACCGCATTTCCATTCCGGGGGGCCTCCCAAGAAGGTGAGTCTCGCTAAGGCCTAGACGGTCATGAAATTTCATTGACCAGAAAATTTCAGTACGCAATTCGACCTGTTGTGCGAAGCAACAAGAAGTTCAATCGCGACATAGTCATCAAGACTGTTGCAGATGTCGTGGGGCCCGAGCATCCTGTTGATCTCAAGAACTATGATTTGATCATCCTCGTCACCGTTATCCAGGTCAGTTCTCTACGGCCGTGGCTTCTATGCCACTCATTCAGAACCCATTACTGACAATAAACTATCAGAATGTCATTGGCATGAGTGTTGCCGGGAGCGACTACGATCGGTTAAAGAAGTATAACCTGGCCGAGTTATACAGTCCAGCAGCTACGTCAGAGGCAGAGGCCGCTAAATCTACGAAGGACTAACCCCACATTCTCCCCGAGTAATTTTTGGGCGAACAATTGGCGTCGGGCAAATCTTGAATAAGTGGCGAAGTGTGATCGCCTCATCAGCTCCACGAAGACAAAAGCTAGAAATGTGTATATACAAAGTTCGCGATATCCTAACAACTGAATTGCCCTCTCTTCCGGATTTCCCCTCTATGAGCCACACGAACTTTAGAGCCGACACATGATGCGTAAAAACCGGCATTTTAGTTCGAAAAGGTGTAATAAAGAGATAAGAGGCTATGGCAAGGGGAAGCATAGTTCATCTAATCCCCGCTCGAGGGACGGTCCGGCTGCCAATAGCCTGATCGGAGGCCAAACAGAACAGGGTTGTGCCCAAAGTTACCCAAGAAGCACAAAATACATAAGGCGGCACAAGCCGCCTACCTTCTGCGAACATTGTGCGAATGGTAACCAAATAGCAGGTAAGGTATATCATCGTAGGAGCAGTACTACTTTATTCTATGCATAGAGAATGGAAACTAAATAGATTGAGTCCGCTGCAACATCGGCATTCGATCCGGCCGATACAACCGGGGAGATGCGCATTCGGCAAGGCCCGCCTGTGATTGGCCCGGCGTGGATGCACCCTGCATGGCGCCTTTCTCAGAGCGGGAGCCTTAGGCGAGCTGCGTCTCCATGGATCACAACTCTTTCCTTCACTTCCTGGCCAATACTCCAATGATGCTTCTTGGGGTCTTCTTTCTCCAATTTAAACAGTGGGGATCCCGGACGGATGTCCCCTTCAGTAAGGGGCTTCGGATATGGATCTTCCGCTTCGCTTAATGTTTTCAAATAAGGGATATGCTCCTTGTCCTCGGTACGGGGTCCCTCCATCATCTGACGCTCAGAAACGAGATCGATCGACTGGTTTCCCTGTTCCTAGTATCACTTAGCTGTTGCTGCTTTGTGGGTTAGACAATCTATTACCTTCCTTGTTCGATTGCAGTAACCTGCGTCTTACCTCTGTTCCATGTCCGGGCCCCATTTGTATCCCCGGGTTGCGGCCGCCTGGTCTTTCTCCCCGATGACTGCAGTAAAGATTTGCTCGCTCGGGTTATATTTGCTTACTTTCCCCCAGCAATATGGATCATCATAATTATATCTTGTACTAGTAGCGAGCATGCGAGCGCTGAAGCAGAAGAGCTGAAGTGTTGCGCGAAATGTCGCCTTCTTTATCTTCTATCTTAGTTCCTGACCTTGAACCTTCTTATACTCTCGGCTCCATCCTTCAACGCCACTTTCCTTCTTCGGTGCAAGTCAAAGGAGTCTATCCGCTCAAGGGCCACCTACATTCAATCAGTCGTCTCGTCCTATCGAATGGGGTCCAACTGCTTCTGAAGTGTTCTCCAGGGTCGACAACACCTCTCTTACGACGAGAACAGCTTCTACTTGAGACTGAAGCCCGTGCTCACTCCATCCTGGTTCAACAGGAAACTCCATATATTCCATCTTTCCTGCATTATGGTCTTCATGGGGGACCCTTGGGCTCTGCCTTTTTAGTAAGACACTATATCAACGGGGCGACACTGCAGGAGCTGGAAGCCGCGCTTACCATGCAAGAGCGGGATGATCTCAACCGAGCCTTGGGGTCATTAGCCCGTGAGATCGGACAGAATTTCTCCAGCTCCTTCGGCTCACTAGACCAGGTAGCCTGTGGATCGGGGAAGCAGTCCTGGCGAGAAGCGTTCGTGACTCTGCTAGAAGGCATTCTTCGGGATTCCGAAGACGCCTTTGTTCATCTGCCATATGCAGAGATTCGGAACCAAGTTCGTCGGCTGTCTCCTGCGCTCGAGGAAATCACGTCACCGCAACTAGTGATTGTTGGGTTAGGCCGGCCGTCGCAGGTGGTGCTGAATCCGGGGTCGAAGAAGCTCGCAGGGCTACTAGGGCTTGAGAATACTCTCTGGGGCGATGTGCACATGGCAGAGATCTTCGAGGCGCCGTCTCCGGCTGTGTTGGAGGGCTTTGGTACTCGACTGAAGGCAAATAAGGCCCAGGTGGCCCGTCAATTACTGTATGTGATCTCTAGAAGAGACTGCAGAAGGTGGTATATAGTCTGTGTGCTGACCGTCGACCTCCTAGGTATGCCTGCTATCGTGCTGTGCACCAGGTTACGATACACTACTACCGCGATCAGGGAATGGCCGCTGAGATCGATGCTAGGAGACGACTAACGTCGATATTAGCTGAAATGGCCTCGGTAGACGGAGTTTGCACGTTATGTTAAAATTGCGATATCCAGGGACATTGATGTATCCTGGAAGATTATATAGATGGATCTGAGACACAAATTAGTTGGCTCGATCGGCCGGGCCGATCTGCAGCCAGACTTTGGGGGTCTCAAGAATGGGAAAGGTCCTTAGTGCTACATCGCAGTGTTCGATCATAGGCCTACATGATGATTACGACTTTGAACGGTTGCGGAGAAATCATATGAAAACGAAAGTCAATAGTGCAATGCAAGATTTGGTCATGTCGGCATGGAAGCTGTCTTGGCGATGATTTGTTGCTGCCTACGAAGTTTGACGAAGTCCTCGTTTGGAAGTTAATTTCCACCCAGATGAGAGATTTGGTTCCTGAGAAAATACGAACTCATTCTGTACTGGAACCATACGAAGAGTTTTATTGGAAAACATAGTAAAGTAGAGCCCTACACACAATTGAGTAGTAGGAGAGAAAAATTGATCATCATTGTAATCTTCAACAAGCGCGAGCCAGCAAGGGATCCCCATTTGAATCCCGCGGCGGGCGGGGCACCACGCACTAAGCTGGACTAGTCAATCACCTTCAAAGGTCAGTCAGCCTTAATGGCGTCAACCGTTTGGGTGGATTTCCGCGGTTGTCATTGAAACAACCACTTCTTCCTCCTCCTCTTGCTCCTCTGCCGCGGGGTGTCGTCGCAGCTTTATTTTTATTGTCATTTTATGATTTAACTAGCTTTTATAATCTGTCTCTCGAGCGACTTCTCATCTTCCTTGCCCTCTTTCTCCTCTCCAACCCCATCCCTTGAGTTCCGTATCCGCCAGAATGGCGCATTTTCTGCGGGGAAAGCAGGCCGGCATTCAAAAGGACTTCTCCGAGAACTTGTCGCCGGACTTGTTCGCCCTCGATGATGTATATAACTAAGCAAACCCCTGAATTTACCTTACTCGATCCTGTCTCACGCATTGTATACTAATCTTTTGCTGTTGCTGCTCATAGTTCGCTCGGTGCGGTATAAACTCCCAGATCAGTGCGATCGCGTACGATCCCGTCCAGTCGCTCCTCGCCGTCGGAACAAGCGACACACAATTCGGCCATGGTCAGATTTACGTCTTCGGTCAACGACGAGTAGCGGTGGTGTTCTCGCTACCGCGGAAGGCGTCTGCCAAGTTCATTCAGTTCTGCGCCGATAAGCTCGTCAGTGTCGACTCGAAAAGTGAAATCAGCATCTTCTCCTTGGAAACTAGACAGACGCTTGTCTCGTATGCTCCGCCGAGTCATGCGAGCGCTCTACTGACCGACCCGAGTCTCGATTATGCTTTTATTGGGTTGCAGAACGGTATGGAGTATATTGGATTGGATTGTGATGTTTCTCGTACTGACAAGATGTCTTGACTAGGTGATATCATTGCCTACGATCTGGATCGTGAAACTTTGACGCCGTTCCGTGTGCCAAACTTGTGGGCTCAGCGCAATGCCCGTGTTCGCCTTTGTCCTGTTCTTAGTCTCTCCTTTTCGCCTCGGGATATTGGGAAGATCTTGGTGGGATACCCGGAAGGTGCTGTAACGTTTTCCTTCAAGCAGAATGTTGCTCAAAAGTATTTTGAATATGAGGTCCCACCCGGTGCTCTGGGAGGAAATGGTGATGTTCCTGCGTCGGAAATGCGCCGGCCTCGACTGACTAGGGCCCTCTGGCACCCGAACGGTATTTTCGTGTTGACGGTGCATGACGATAATAGCTTGGTTTTCTGGGACTCGAAGGACGGCCGCAAAATCATGGCGAGATCTATCAATACCCCCAACGTTGACCAGCCGGGAGTAAGCCCCGAACGACCCCAGTCGGCTACCGGGCTCAAGGACCCAATTACCAACATCGCATGGTGTGTGAAAGACAACGGAGATGACAGTGGACTATTGATCGCTGGCGGTCGACCGAAAGCTGAAGCCAACAAAGGGCTGACTTTCATCGACCTGGGACCAACCCCTAATTACCAGACTTCCTCGTGGGCAATGATCGCAAAGTACTTTGAGACCCCGAAACGCACCGCAATCCTACCTACTCCCCCCGGTGCGGAGGTGGTCGACTTCTGCCCCATCCCTCGTAGTACTCCATACTATGGCGGCGCCCATGACCCCATCGCATTGCTCGCCCTCTTATCCTCAGGAGAAGTCATCACGATGAGCTTCCCTAGTGGTCATCCCATTACTCCGACAAACATGCTCCATCCTTACCTTAGTTTCGTGCATCCCTTCGTGAACAAGGTCACCCTGACGTCAGTCGATCGTTCTGCCTGGCTGGGTTTGAAGGAGAAAAGATCACAGGGACCTAAGTTTTTGCTCGGAGGGGCGGAGGTAAGGAAGCCGTTAAAGCGCTTCGAAGATCGTAATGTTCTTACGACGGCTCATGCCGATGGCACTATTCGCATCTGGGATGCTGGTGTTGATGACGAGATCGAAAACGGGGACGTCGTTCAAGTGGACCTGGCCCGAGCTGTTGGCCGTGTCGGAAACGTAGAGGTGACCGAGATGTCTTTTGGAGGCTCAACGGGTGAGCTCTCAGTCGGCTTGCGCACCGGCGAGCTTGTCGTCTTCCGATGGGGAAACAACCAGAGCTTTGGTCGTGAAGAGGCTCCAGGTGCCAACGAAGGGCCTGGAAAATTGACCAAGATCACTCACAGAGTCGACCCTGGACTGAAGACGGGTGTCCTTCCACTGACACTCCTGAACATGCAGCAAGGCCCAGTGACTGCTTTGAAGCATAGTCAAGTGGGCTTTGTCGCTGTTGGATTCGAAGGTGGTAGTCTAGCAATCCTGGATTTGCGCGGGCCCGCAATCATCCACACAGCTCACTTTTCTGAGCTGTTCAAGGTGAACAAGCGAGGCAGTATCTTCAATAAGCGCAGCTCTGAGAGCCCGGCTCCTGAATGGCCCACCAGCATTGAGTTTGGTGTGCTGACTCTTGAGGGTGAAGGTGAGATTACTAGTCTATGTGATGTAGATAGTACTGACATCTCGCAGATTATTCCAGTATTTGCTGCTTCGTGGGTACTAACAGAGGCAACCTGGCCACATTCAAGATTCTGCCAGGGGAGGGTGGGCGCTACTGTGCTCAATTTGTCGGCACAAGCTTGCTGGATGACAAGGTTATCAACATCATTCCCGTCAACGCAGACGACGGCGGACTTGCATTGGCTACCCCCAATTCTGTTGGAGGTTTGAGAAACGGTGTTCGCGTTCATGGTGTCGTCGTCGCGGTGACTGTTTCCGGGTGCAGAATCTTTAAGCCAGCAACTTCCAAGGGTGCCCATAGGTCCTGGGATGACTACCTTTGCGATTCCGCCGCGGTTGTCAAGACCGAGGCTCGCGGATACAGTCTGGTTGGCCTTTTTGGAGACGGATACACGCGAGCTTTTTCGATCCCTGGTCTGAAAGAGATTGGCGCCAGCCCAATCAATCAAATCGCTGACATGAGACGCCTCTCGGATGCCACGATCTCCTCCAACGGCACTGTCATGGTCTGGACCAGTCCTTCTGAAGTGGGCTTATTCAGCGTTTGGGGAGGAGGACACGCGCTGTACGCAACTCCTATTATCTTAACCAAGGGCTGTGAATACTAACAGACTATATAGACGCCAGTCCGAAGACCAGCTCTACAACCCGCAGGCTGTTATGCCCCCACGACCCACGATCACCAACATCCAGTGGATCTCAGGAACTCAATACGTTTCCCCAGCCGATATGGACATTCTCAGTACGTATACTCCCCTAACTAGCCTACCAAGCGACTGACCCATAAAAGTCGGCGGTCCCGACCGGCCACCATCCAAGCGCATGCAGGAGCAGATGCGCCTAGACGAAGAGGAGCGCCGCAAAGCATTCCGGGAAGGCAGAACCCCGACAAACAAATCGTCGAGCAGCCAGGAAGGATACTTGTCCTACATGTCGCGCCAAGTGCAGGAACGCACCGAACGACTCAACTTTGCCGGCGATAGCATGGATCGGCTGGAAGAGAGCAGCAGCAACTGGGCTCGCGACGTGAACAAGTTTGTCAGTAACCAGAAGAAGAAGGCAGTTCTTGGCGGTAAGTATCTCTCCTCTTTTTCAGAGAATACGCTAATGGGTTTATAGCACTCGGCTCAAAGTTCGGCTTCTAGATGCGTACTACAGTGACATGAAGAAAAAGACTAAGAAGCGTTCAGCATCAGTGGCTGAGTACATTAGACTCATTCCTACCATACCATTACCATACCATACCCATGCTTTTGTTGGCGTTTTTGAGTGCTATTTCTATGCTGAATAAAGTGTTTCCTTAATTCTCGGATTCAATCGAGCTTCTTCGGATCTTCAAACCGTAAACGTAATGTAAAGACCCTGTGCAGAGAGCAGATCTCTATCTGTCCACACGGTAGAAACATGGTACTTGGAATCCAACTCACCGCAACTCAACACCACTGGGATGAACTTACCCGGGCAATCATGATGTCGGAATAAAGTACAGTCCTAGATAGTAGTCTTGGTTAAAACCTACCTTCTCGACCCTCAATGATCAAGAGTATATGTGCATACATTATCAACTCTCTATTCCCACAGACAGCCATAGTAACACTCCCCACAACATACGATGGCCCTCCACCAAATGAAGGAAAGAAAGAAAGAAAGAAAGAAAGAAAGAAACCTTACGCAAGCGCAAGGACCGCTCTTACTCCCCCTTACCATAGCAAGCATCGGTCGGCAAGTTAAAGGGAGCAACCAAGAGATAAGTAAGTAGGAAGGATGCTTCACTTTCCTTACTTCAATCCTTTCTCACCTACTTTTCGGGCGACTAGATATACTCTGTCTTCACCGCAGACTTTTTAACCTAACATCTTTCAAGTAGAAGAATATATTCAAAGGATATTGGGCTGTCATTCTGACGAATGATATCAAGGATCGTTATGCTGATCGCTATAGTACCAAGTACTTACTGACTATTGTAAAGCTCAATAACACATTGTATTCCGTATTGTCATCATGAGAGTGAATTGGGCCAGAATGGAACAATAAAGAGTTGCTGAGTGGTGAAGTTACACAGCAGAAAAGGCGGGAATTAATATCATTCGATATAGGACAAGTTTTGTATGATGTATGTATGCATTGTAGATCAATGCCATAATGCAGGCTACTTGGTTGTTTGGATTTTACCCTGTTGGGAATTTGCTTTTGGCCTTGCGTTGGTTCTTCCCAGTGTAGTAATGTACACTGTTAGGGATGCATGCAGTTGCCATGGTAGTTTTGATTCTTCAGATTGCCCTTGCATTTGATGCGGTGAGGAATGTGGAGGGGTAAGATAGTAGTGAAAGAAGGAAAGAGGAAATCAAATCAAGTATGTGCATTTTTTCGAATTATGTTGGTTTGGCTGGTCGGGTCTATGTCATAAAGCTAAATACTTGCAGGGATATGATAGATGATATGTTGTCATGAAACACGTTGCAACCCAATCGTAAAATCATTCGACAGATAGGAATAAAGAAACGTAGTATAACTTCGAGGCTCTTCAGTTGCTTTAGTGCACCATCAGCTCGGGCTGTTGTTGATGGGCCGCGGGATTGTTGTTACTGGCGCCTCCGGCGGATTCATCCTTCTGCTCGGTATCATCGCCCATCTCGACGTCCTCATCGCCATCGTCGCCCTCTTCCTCGTCGAGCTCCTCCTCATCTTCGTCGCTCTCATCTTCGATATCCTCGGACTCGGCGTCCGAGATGTCTTCCTCCTCTTCCTCCTTGGCGGCAGGGCCCTCGGTACCCTCCATCTCTTGATCTTCGGTCTTGGGCTCCAAATCGTTGAGCTCCTTGAAAAGGGCTGCTTCCAGCTCTGCTTCCTCTGCACCGTAGGCAGCACTGTCGTCGCCCTCCTGGTCGGCTTCGGGCTGGTCCGGCGGGTATTCAGCGGGGGCAGATTCCTCCGAGTCCCTAGGCGGTAGCAGTTAGTATCGTATGGCAAAGAAAATCCAAACAGGCCACTCACCACTTGATGGCAAAGCGGGTTACTCTGGGCTTCTCAGCAAGGATATTCCGACGGATGCGTTCGATGATTGGCCGAGCCGGCGGCTGCTCCATGAGCTCCTCGGAATCGTATTCATTGTTTACATAGTAGCCAACACGGACGAATTCTCTGCCGTCGTAGCTGCAAGTGAGAAGAATCACGGTGACTCCCAGAATTTCGGAAGTAGGGATGCGCTTGAGGTCTGGGGGGTCGGCCTCGAAGATGAATTTGTTGACACCGACGGGGATCGGTCCCACCAGCAGGGAGTCGAGTTCCTGGTCATATTCGGAGCTAGAGAAGAAGGTCGTTAGCAGGTAGATTGGATTTTATCTCGGTCTAGGTCCAACTTACGATGTCGCCGAACCGACATAGGTGAGCTTCCACTCCAGATCTGGAAACTCATTAGCGACGGCCAATTAACGGGAGCGGGGTTCACAGCGTACCTTTCTGCAGCTGTTCGAGACATTCGAACGTGATCTCGAATTGATAGGGGTCGAGGAAAGAGGCAGGGTTATTGACGATTTTCACGCCAAGAAGAGAAACGACCGACATAGCGATGGAGGGGCGGTAGTGGAGCGAGCTGCTTGATGGAGTAATATGGAGGGATAGAGGGGGAGGCAAAGGATGGTGTGGTAGACCAGAGGTGTTAGGTGTGGAGAAGGATGATGAAGGGAGGAGTGAGGCAAAGAGGTTGTGGAGGTATATAAGAGGTATGAAAAGGGAGGAGGGAAGAGAGAAGAGAGAAGAGAGAAGAGAGAAGAGCAGACGATCTCTTTTTGGTAACTGAATGGGGATGCAGCGGCCAGCAGTAATTAAACATGCGGCAGGAAGATCGACGACGCGCCGCGTGTTTCTGCGCCCAAGTTCGCGCCCACCGCCTAAGTCACGTGCTCGAGCACCGGTCGGGCAAAGCAAAGAAAGAAAGAAAGAAGCTCTCGAAGCGGATGAACTCCATCTTTGTCGTCAGTGTCGCTGATCCACCAGCGGCCTCTCGTGTCTGTCGCCCGCTCCTATCTCCAAACGCAGATTCTGTCTCTCCCCTGAACCTTCCCCTCTCTCCTCGTTCATCCCCAACACCTTACCGCCTGTCGTGGGTCCTTCCCCTCTCTCATGAGTGAATGACCGATTCATCATCGCTCATTCTGCTGTCTCCCCCCCCCATTCAAGACCTCAATCAGCTAATCAAACTCAATCAGGTTCCTCCGTTGCTCCCCCCTCTATCAACTACCAACACCCCTCCCCCCTTAACATATAGCCCATAATACCCTTGTCGCATTCAATCACACACCTTGGTCATGGCTGAAGATGATGCTGAAAAGGCCTTTTTCCAGGCTCAGGCTATGAATGCGGACTCTGGAGACTATAAGACCGTGGAAGAGCAGGATGCAGATAGTTCAGATTCAGATGACTATGATCCTTCCAAATCACTGCCAGATCAGTATTCTGTTTCCTTGACAGATTCCAACCAACCGGACAATGTTCCTGATCATGATGCTACTCCTTCCAATTCCAATCCCCCCGAACAAACTACTACTACCACTACCACTACCACCTCTACTTCCCTGCCTGCCCCCCCTGAATCAGACCCTAGTCAGCCAGCTGGCAATGCCTTCCCTTCTGAGACACCTTCACGAGCTGAGTCCCAGACACCAGCATCGGGCCTCGCCACTGGGGCCTCGGTTCCGCCCAAGACCAGGACAATTGGGGGCTTTGTGGTCGAGGATGAGGATGAGGATGAGGCGGGTGAGGCAGATTATGAGCCACCAGCTGTACTAGGTGTCGAAGACATGAATACTATACCTTCGCAACCCATTTCAGGAAATGCAAATGAAGCTACTTCTACCCCTGATGTATCATTGGATGAAGCTGCGCAAGTGTCTGCCAGCACGAAGACTGCCCCTAATAGTTCTTTCCCTGCTGCTTCTAAAAATGATGTGTCGGTGGCTTCGGGCCAGGAACTGTACAGCGCAAGTGTTGCCCCGTCGGAACAGGCGCAGGATGGGACCACCGTGACCCCCGAATCGCCCTCGACCGCCAGGGGCCGCTTGCCTCACGACCGGGTTGGCATCCTGGAAGATCGCATCCAAGAAGACCCCCGTGGTGACATTCCCGCTTGGCTGGAACTGATTAACGAACACAGGAGTCGCAATAGAATTGATAACGCACGCGATGTGTATGAGCGCTTTCTAAAGGTTTTCCCATTTTCTGTAAGTGATCTCTTTTGTATATCCTGGGAGACGACCAAATCGACTAACGGTTTAAGGCTGAACAATGGGTGGCTTACGCGACAATGGAGTCCGAGCTGAATGAACTCTTCCGCCTGGAGCAAATTTTCAACCGGACTTTGCTGACGATTGCGGATGTGCAACTCTGGACGGTATACCTTGATTACGTTCGTCGCCGGAATCCCCTCACCACCGACACAAACGGACAAGCGAGACGAATCATTTCATCGGCCTATGAATTGGCTCTGCAGCACATCGGTATCGACAAGGATTCGGGGTCCATCTGGTCCGACTACGTCCAGTTCATCCGCTCCGGCCCAGGAAACGTCGGGGGTTCTGGATGGCAGGATCAACAGAAAATGGACCTACTCCGGAAAGCCTACCAACGGGCCATTGGGGTACCCACCCAGGCTGTCAATACTCTCTGGAAAGAATATGATCAGTTCGAGATGGGCCTGAACAAGCTGACAGTAAGATTCTAACAAAGCGCCCTGTGGAACATCCGCTCTAACAATGATCTCTTTTTCGTCCAGGGCCGTAAGTTTCTACAGGAGCAGTCTCCAGCGTACATGACCGCCCGCAGCTCCTTCACTGAATTGCAGAACATCACCAGGGACCTCAACCGGACAACGCTGCCGAGGTTACCTCCAGTTCCGGGTTCGGACGGTGATATCGAGTTCCTGCAGCAGGTCGAGATCTGGAAGCGCTGGATCAGTTGGGAGAAGGGCGACCCGCTTGTCTTGAAGGAGGAGGACATGAGTGTTTTCCGGACGCGTGTAGTTTATGTCTATAAGCAAGCACTCATGGCCCTTAGGTTCCTTCCCGAGCTGTGGTTTGAAGCTGCTGAGTTCTGCTTCCACAACGACATGGAGACCGAAGGGAACGAGTTCTTGAAGCACGGCATCGACGGCAACCCAGAAAGCTGCTTGCTTGCATTTAAGCGTGCGGACTGGCTGGAAATCAACTCTGATTCCGAGCAGGATCCCGTCAAGCGCGGCGCCAAAGTCAGAGAACCCTACGACCGACTCCTCGATTCGCTTTACGATCTGATCGCCAAAGCCCGGACTCGCGAGCAGCAAGATGTTGCTCATCTCGAAGAGACCTTCGCAAAGATGAATCCCGAGAAGCAACCGACAAAAAATGAGGACGATGAGGACGATCAGAGTGAGGCGAAGGCGAGGGAGTCCGTCAAGAACGCACAGATCGACGCGGTCCGACAAGCACATGCCATACAGATTGGTATCCTTTCCAAGACCATATCCTTTGCCTGGATTGCTCTGATGCGCGCCATGCGCCGCATCCAGGGTAAGGGCAAGCCTGGGGAGATGCCGGGCTCGAGACAGATTTTTGCAGATGCGCGCAAGCGGGGTCGCATTACCAGTGATGTCTACATTGCCAGTGCTCTCATTGAGTATCATTGCTACAAGGATCCCGCCGCAACGAAAATCTTCGAGCGTGGTGCGAAGCTGTTCCCTGAAGATGAAAACTTTGCGCTGGAATACTTGAAGCATCTCATTGATATTAACGACGTTATCAGTAAGTATACGCTCATGGCTAAAGGTCTATGAATACGATGCTAACTTACTCCAGATGCACGAGCTGTTTTCGAGATGACGGTCAGGAAGCTCGCTTCTAATCCCGAGAACGTCCAGAAGACGAAGCCTATCTTTGCCTTCCTGCACGAATATGAGTCGCGGTACGGTGACCTTGTGCAAGTGATCAATCTCGAAAACCGCATGCGCGAGCTGTTCCCGGAGGACCCCACGCTGGAGCAATTCGCACACCGATACGCGACCCCTGGCTTCGATCCCACTGCTGTGCGACCCATCATTTCTCCCTCTCAGACACGGCCCAAGATGGCATACCCGGCCGAGCAAGCCATTTCCCGTCATGCCACGCCTACTGCGCGGTACCAGGACGCGTCTGCGACAGACTCGCCTAAACGCCAGCTGGATGACTTCGATGACGACATGGCTCGGCCGCGCAAGTTCGTGCGTGCCGAGTCTCCCCTCAAGACGACGCAGCGACGCCAGCTGGATCAGAAGCGCACGCAGCAGACCATGGGTGGGCCGTCCGGAGGCCAGTTCCGGTCGCAAGGATCACCGGCACCTCTGCCGCGCGACATCGTTTATCTTCTCAGCATTATACCTTCTGCCTCAGCATACAACGCGGGGAAGTTCTCTCCGGAAAGGATGGTCGATCTGATTCGAAGGATCGATATGCCCAGTTCGATCTCCCAGATTCCGCTTCCACGGGGACTGGGAGCCGGGCAGACGCCACAGTCATTTCCAGGTAAGTACACCTAAACTACATGCCTAGTTGGGCCGGTGACTGATTCACAGCAGGCATCTACCGTTCATGATCTGTCAATGATATAGACCCTCCCTCATGCAGCTCTTTAAGCGCAAATAGTCATGTTAACCTGGCGCTGTATCTGTTATTCTTTGTTTTTTTTCTCCGTCGGTTTCGGCCGCCGGTACCACCACGGCGTGGTACTGGAGTGTATAGTTGTTGGACGTCGCTTTGCATTTGATGAACCGGCGTTTTACCTTGGGTTACAATCACGGATGAGTTTGGGCAGCTGGGCCTTGAGTGAACCATCATTATTCGAGTTTGGGAGGGATTTGTACAGGTTTAGTGCCGTCCTAGCATGGCATGAGTTGCAGTCGACAGTTCCTTTGACGTATAATCCCAGCAGGATGAATGCAGCATTATATTGACCATCAAACGTTGCTCTTCTTCAAGTAATTCCTCCGAAGTACTCTGTGCAAAGTAACTAACTACTAAATTATATGATTATTACAAGATTATATAAATTATATAAACTAGATAAGGATATATGATTAATTCTATATTATATCTTGTCTTTTTAGTAGTATAAAAGATTGGTACTCGGTTTCAAGCAGAACAACTAATAGCTAGTTTTCATACATATAATTAAGCTTATTATGTCTCCCACATCACCCCTAACAGTATCACTATCTATAATAATCTATACACATTATAGAATAATATAAGACTTTCTTACATTAAAACCTCTTTTGCCTACGCGGGTAACCCATGGGCGGTTCCTCTATACAGAAACCCGCCCCAAACCCGCGCTTGGCGAGGTTTAGCAATATGATACCAACCACGTGAGGGCAAGGAAGGGAAGGCTTACTCAAGATTTGGTAGCTCTTCCTCGTCCACCAAATCGAGGCTGGACGCGGCTTCTTCAGGCTTTTCAGTCATGGACATAATGAAGGGTGACTCTACGGAGTCATCAAATGATAGGAGTCCAAGGATTGCCGGATAACGTGTCTAAAGCAAATAGTGCGAGCCCTTAGAGAGGCGGGCTTTCCTTGCTAGCGGGGGAGGCCCGCACAGAACTTTTCTTTCCCTCATTGGTCTACTGGGTGTGACTATGGCTACAGTAGCCTCGATATAAGTGTCAGTGTACCCTCAAACGTGCCCCAACGCCTTCTCTCCAGCTGAGGTGATTTGAGACTCTAGAGATTTTGTTTGCATGCTGATCATCTACGTCGAGCGCAATTTCCGCACTACCATAGCTACATCATTTTCGGC